AACATACATGTTATTGTCAGCAAATAATTTTCCATTTCTTGTTTTCTGTATGTTTTGCTTTTTTTCCTCCATCCTTGATTTCCTATCTCTTACCCTCTGCCATCTCCCACTCTCCTCCCACACTGTCTCTGGTATCTATGTTTGCTTTCTATACTGTTTTCCCCCCATATTTTATTGAATTACTAAAGACCTTAATTAATCTTAATATTTTCATAGTAAGGGTTTTACTATAAATGATTCTATATCACTTTCTTTTTTAATTAATTTTTTTATGAATTTCCTTCTTCCTTGAGAAAGAGGGAGGGAGGCAGACAATCCCATAGGGTTCCTGCACCATGACACACGTCCAGCCTCAGCCAACCAGGACAACGGACACATACGTGTGTGCTAGCATGCACGAGGCAACCTCAAGATGCAAACCCAGAACTTTCCTATATGGCTTCAGTATCACGGAGCGTTGTGTAATATTATCCCTGTGCCACCACACCTGGCCTATCCCATATTACTTTCTAAATTATATCTAAATATGTTTATGTAATAAGAGAGAATACAAAATAATCTTTTATATGTAAAATACCTATGTACAGTAACATAGGTAGGGAAACTCATTCCTCCCATGTCTGATCTCCAAGTGTGGCATCTTGAAGAATTTTTAAAATATCTTATTGATAGGCACAGCTCCCAAGACTCTGACAAAGCGGGAAGCAGTGTCAAAGTGAAACCCACTAAGTCATGACAAAAATATTCATGATCTGTTAGATAAAAAGAAATTCTTTTTTTAAAAAATTTGTTTATTTTCCCAACCAAATGTTCAGGCTCCTTCCTTCCAATCTTTATGTGAGAACCTCACTAATAAATGGTTTTTCACATACATGGTAACACAGCTCATGCATAAATCAAATCATGCGATTCATCCCTCAGTTTCTGGTTTATGGTACATCACCTAGAGTGTAAGGGCCACACTTGTGATACCACAAGAGGCACGAGCTGAAGGAAGAAATCTAGGAAAGAACACTGGTAGGATAGGGAAATAGATGACTCATATAAGCCTTGGGTGTCACCCCACAGCAGAATGATCGGGTACTACTGCTTCATGCATTATCATAGGGCAGATGGGCCAAAAGTGAGCTACAAGTTAGTTTTTTTCCCTTTTTTTTTTTTGTTTTTTTTTGTTTTTTTTTTCATATCCAAAATGTGGATAGTAACTTCCCTATTACTCAATATTTTTCTGAAAGTTTAAAGATCAAAATCCTGGGGAACTTTTGCTGAATCCTAAAGTGACCTTAGGTGCTATTGTTACTTCCTTCCATAGCATCCTATATTTCTCAATAAAATATTCATTATATATAAAAATAACTGTTAAATGGATACTTCCCATGCTAGACTACAAACTCTTTGAGGCTAAAGTACATATTCACCTAATATATTCTATACTTAGAACTTGGTACAGAGAAAGTTGTTAAAAGTATTGAATAAATGAAATAATGGAAAAAAAATTAATTGAGCAATCAAAATAAATATTAGTACTTGCTGTTATTTTTTAAAATATCAGCTATTTTGTCATTCTCACCAAGGCAGCTTTCTTATCTCTCTTTGACACTGACCTTAGGAAAAATAAACCCCTATAATACAACAGTGAGGTCTGCAGCCTGGTTCTGTCCTACAGAGGTAACCCAGAGGCCTCTAGCATTTTTAGAGTAGCTCAAAGCAGTTCCTGAAAGCCATTTCTTTTACTTTAGAAAAAAAGAGATGATCAGTTGTCCACCCTTGAAAGTCATTGAAATACCAACAAAACCTAGAGTATTCCCCATCTGGAATTCCATAGAACTAAGACTGCAATGAAAACCAATATTCCCAGGGGATAAATTCAGAGGGAACTTCCTGAATCAGAGGGTGGCATGGTGGTTAAGGCATCTGGATCCCGCAAAGCCGACCCCATGATTCAAGTTCTCACCTGACAGCATGGAAAACACTCTGAGCACATGTGCGTAAGTTCCTAAAATTTTGAAAAAAAAAAAAAGGTAAATGAGAAAAGATTGTGCTGTGACTATCCCCCATGGAAGGTGCTTTCTCATTCTCTCTCTCTTTCTCTTCCCCTAGCAAGCACACACACCCTCTGACAAACTAAAAACGACATCCTGCAGTTTGTAACCAAGACAACAGGGCTCTCTGCCTCCCTCAAAACTGTCAAGGAAAAAAAAAAATTACCTAAATTAATTCTTCAAGTTTTAACCAACCAGACCAGAAGGCGGCACATAGTCATGAGTCATGACTTACAGAAAAGTATTTTAGCCAGAAAAGGCTCTTCTACAAACTCGGATTTGGGAAACGAAACTGAAACCAATCTGCATTTTATTTCCCAACCTCACAGGACTAGTCACGCCCTGCTGTGTCCTTTTTCAGCCAATGAGACCTTGCACAGAGGCACAGGCAGAGCATACAAATAAATAGTAGAAATACTTTTCTCTAACATAATAGGAGGAAGAAGCACAGCCATCAGGTATTTCCTACACTGAAATAGATTATTTTTCCTCATTTGTGTGGAAGAAATTTGCAAGACGATCTGGGTAAGTAAATGATTCATTAGTAACATTTTGAGTATCATTGAGAGTAGCGTTTTATTGAATAAGAAGAAATCTATTTTTCCATTAAAAATTGAAATATACCCAAAGTAAAAAATGATAATATCCTAAGCCTAGATATATTAGACTATTTTTGCTGTGACAAGAGACTGGTTTATATTAGTTGAAAAATGAGTCATAACATTTTATAAAAGACGTGACTGAAAAGTAGAAGTGCTCTCATTGATGAACTCCCCCAAGGTATAACAGCATCTCTAGAAAGAACAGACAATGAAAATTTAAAACTGGATTTGACATTAATCAAAGATTCTTCTACCAACTACTGGAAGGAACAGGCAGCTTACAGAAAACAATTCTGATAGCCTCTGAGATCTTAGTGTCAGATGAGAGAGAGAAACCAACTACTGCAAGAAGTCCTTGGAATTATGGCAGCTTTATATTCCTGGTAAAGATTCTAGGTTTATACCTGATTTCCCCAGAGTAAACAATAAGGCAATGCCAAGTAGTGGGGGAACTACATTTTTTAGTTCGGATCTTAATTCCCTTTAGAAGAACTAATAAATCCTACAGCTAATCACCCAGTTACAAAAATACATACAGTTTTAGTAATTTACAAATTGCATTTCCTTTTTTATACTTGATGCTAGGAAACTCAGGACTAAATTTTCAGGCCTCTTTTTAAGGTATATAAAATCAAAAAACTATTTTAGATCCTAACTTTACTCTGTGGCTTAATTTTTTTTTCTTCCTACCTTTACTTAGCCTTCCCTCCTATTTCTTTTTTTTTCTGTATATATTTATATATATTATTATAGTACTTTGTCATCATTTATTTCAACAGGTTGTATTTTTCATAAGCAAATTACAAATTTTTTTCTACTTACAACTCCAGAGGATGATTAAAACAACCATCAACATGCACACTATATACACAGACTCTTTTGTAAATATGTAAAGTTACTACTTGGTATTTTCATTACTATACACTCTCCTTCCTATTTTCTAAACTTAACCTAGTAGGCAGTTTTCTATGGATTTCTTCTCTGCTATAAACATTTATCACAGAACTTTTTTTTTTTTTTGGCATTTGCCCCATCCTTTATTTATTTATTCATTTATTTTATTTCAATTTATTTATTTGAATTCATTCACTGTACATCATTACAGCATACAAAATGAGATTTTTCCATCCAGAGTACACTTTATATTGTCTCAATCAAGCACATCAACATACATGTTATTGTCAGCAAATAATTTTCCATTTCTTGTTTTCTGTATGTTTTGCTTTTTTTCCTCCATCCTTGATTTCCTATCTCTTACCCTCTGCCATCTCCCACTCTCCTCCCACACTGTCTCTGGTATCTATGTTTGCTTTCTATACTGTTTTCCCCCCATATTTTATTGAATTACTAAAGACCTTAATTAATCTTAATATTTTCATAGTAAGGGTTTTACTATAAATGATTCTATATCACTTTCTTTTTTAATTAATTTTTTTATGAATTTCCTTCTTCCTTGAGAAAGAGGGAGGGAGGCAGACAATCCCATAGGGTTCCTGCACCATGACACACGTCCAGCCTCAGCCAACCAGGACAACGGACACATACGTGTGTGCTAGCATGCACGAGGCAACCTCAAGATGCAAACCCAGAACTTTCCTATATGGCTTCAGTATCACGGAGCGTTGTGTAATATTATCCCTGTGCCACCACACCTGGCCTATCCCATATTACTTTCTAAATTATATCTAAATATGTTTATGTAATAAGAGAGAATACAAAATAATCTTTTATATGTAAAATACCTATGTACAGTAACATAGGTAGGGAAACTCATTCCTCCCATGTCTGATCTCCAAGTGTGGCATCTTGAAGAATTTTTAAAATATCTTATTGATAGGCACAGCTCCCAAGACTCTGACAAAGCGGGAAGCAGTGTCAAAGTGAAACCCACTAAGTCATGACAAAAATATTCATGATCTGTTAGATAAAAAGAAATTCTTTTTTTAAAAAATTTGTTTATTTTCCCAACCAAATGTTCAGGCTCCTTCCTTCCAATCTTTATGTGAGAACCTCACTAATAAATGGTTTTTCACATACATGGTAACACAGCTCATGCATAAATCAAATCATGCGATTCATCCCTCAGTTTCTGGTTTATGGTACATCACCTAGAGTGTAAGGGCCACACTTGTGATACCACAAGAGGCACGAGCTGAAGGAAGAAATCTAGGAAAGAACACTGGTAGGATAGTGAAAGAGATGACTCATATAAGCCTTGGGTGTCACCCCACAGCAGAATGATCGGGTACTACTGCTTCATGCATTATCATAGGGCAGATGGGCCAAAAGTGAGCTACATTTTTACAGGTGGAGGAGCTAGGACTCAGTAGATAGACATATGAAAGTGACAGGAAGGTTTACAGAGGAGGGTGGTGCCAGGTTTTATTCAACTGTAAAACCATTATGAGTCAACAGTGCATGGGAAGTGTAAGTCAAAAACTAATCTGCAAGCTGAGGCTGCAGTAGTAACCATCTAGCAAAATTTTAGAACCTTGGGCCAGTAAATGGTGTGGTGGTTAAGGTACTAGATCCCACATGCCCAACCCTGTGGTTCCAGTCCCAGACCCAGCAGCTTGAAAAGCACACTGGGTATGTGTATGCCAGTAGCTTGAAAAGCACACTGGGTGTGTGTATACACATGCCCAAAATTCCTAGAAGAGAATGGAGAAGAAAGGGGGGGGGGCATGATTTCTTACTTCCCTTCTTTCTGTCTTTCTCTGGCAAGCACATACACAGTATGGCAAAAATCTAAAAAAACAAATAAAAATTTCAAACTCAGATACCCAGAATCAAATTAATCATTAACTTTGATTCATAACACACCATCACCTTTGTCTATGAAAGTACCTCTTTATTTTATTCATCTGTTTATTTATCTTATCATTTTTTGGAAGTATCATTGACTTTTTAAATGGAGTATAATTTATGTAAAATGAATAAATCTTAAGGCTAGAGCTCTATGAAATTATTGAATGTATTCATCTGTGCAGCCACTTACCAGATCAAAATACAAAATATTTTCATCAAGACCAGAAATTTTTCTTGTGCTCCTTCTCAGAATATACTTCCCTAACAAGAGTTAACTGCTAGTCTGACTTCAACTATGATAAATTAATTCTGTTTGTTTTTGAACTTCATGTAACTATATTCTGCAATACATTTTCTATAAAGATATGGTTTCTGCAATACATTTTCTATAAAGATATGGCTTCTTTCACTCCGTATCTCATGTGTGAGATTCTTCCATGTTGTTACTTGTATCAATACTTTAATCTTTTTTATTAAAATTGCTAAGTCATAGAGGAGACACACATTCAACTTAATAAAAACTGCCAAATAGTTTCTCAAAGTGGCTGAAAAAATTTACGTTCCCGCCAGCAAAGTATGAGCACTCCGGTGCTTCCACACCTTCATGGACATTTGGTGTTCTCAGTCTATATTTTCAGTCACTCTTTTGGGTATATGGTTTTTGCATATTCCCATCCATCAAACTCACCAATGTAAATGCCAAGATGTCCTCTGGTTTCTCTTTGTCCTAGTAAGGCCAAGACTGGTCCTCAACCCCAACCCAGAATCAGCAAATGTCCCAGTGCTTATTAGACAGGGATCATCCCTTTCTAGAATTTTCCTTCATCCAGTCCTTGTCACTTAATCTATCTATGACTCTATGATGACTTCAAAAATACAATTTTTGTAATGTATCTGTTTTTTGGTTTGTTTGTTTGTTTGTTTTTTCTCATTGTTGCAATGGGAGCATCCATAGCCTTCTGTGATTTATGAAATATACTGGGATGTGAGATTCCTTTTTTTGAGTCAGTTTTGGTAAGTTATATTTTTCAAGAAATTTTTTTAAGTTAATCAGTCTCTCAGTCTTTAACTTTATTTATGTAAAGTTGGTTGCAGTATCCTATAATCCTTTTACTTTTGTACTCTTTCTCTTTTATTTCCTGCTTAATCTTTCCATGTGAGTGCCGATTTTATTACTCTATATTGCAAACTTGCAGGCTTTGCTGAGTCTCGCTATTGTAACTTTGTTTTCTATATCATAGATTTCTGCCCCTTTTTTTTTCCTTCCTACTGCAGGTTTATTCTTTTATTTTCCTTTGAACATGTTAAATTGGCATTTAGTTTACACTTTTTAAATTTTAAAAAAATTCATGAGAGAAAGCAAAGATATGCACATGAAAGAGAAGTACCCTTGACAGGGTGTCATCGCACCCCTATCCCTCCCTCTCCCAGTCTTTCAGCTTGTCAGGATCTTGGACATGCACAAATATGCCCAGCATGTTTGCAGGCCAATCTGGGGCTCCAAACCCATGATTGGCCTCTAGACTGCAGTTCAGCTTGCTACAGACTGCACTATGAGTCCAGGTCACCTTACACTTTTCAGTCACTCTGTGTTTATATCGAAGAAAAGCATTTCAGGAACCAGTAGGTCGCATGGTACTTAAGGCACTGGACTCACATATGGTCAACCACAGTTCTAATTCTGGAACCGGTGGTTTGAAACTCATACTGGGTACATTTGTGTGCATGCCCAAAATCTCAAGAGAAGAATGAAGAAGAGACTGCTGAGGGATCATACTCCCTGGGGGGTGACTTCCCACTTTCTCAATGTCTCTCTGTCTCTCCAGTGAGCACATGCACCCTTTGGGAAAAAAATAATTAAAAAAAAAATAAAAGCATTTGAGGCTATACATAAATTTTTTAAATTTACTTATTTATTTCTTCCATTAGAAAGACCAAGAAACTCCCAACAGGGCCTTCAAGCCACAATTCACCCCTGGTCTTAGGCAGTCTGGATCAGAGACATGTACACATGTGTGCAGTGTGCGAGGGAGATTCCAGGATGAGAACCCAGGACTTTCTTATGTGGATCCATCTGGCCCCCCATGGCTATAAACATTTCTACAAGTATCATTTACCCTGTTTCTTACAAGTTTCGATGTACAGCATTTTAATTATTGTTCATTTCTAAATATTTTTCTCTTCAGCATATGCCATAACAATTTTTTGAGATCATTGTAGAGTTACATGCAGTCATAAAAAATAATGAGATTTTCTTTGTGCCTTTTACTCAGCTTCCCCAGTGGTAAAATCGTACAAAACTTCAGTAAAACAAACAAACAAACAAAAAAAAGAAAACACACACAATCAAGATGTTGACATTGATACATTCAAAACACAAGACGTGGAGCCAGGCATGGCACAGTGGTAATGCATGGAACCCACATAGGAAAGGTCCAAAGTCCATATCCAGGGCCCTTCCTGGGCACTCTAGCACACATATTGTACTTATGCCCATGATCTGTGCCAGCTGACATGGGGTGAGGGGGTGGGGAGTAGATCACAGGTTGGGAGCCCTATTGAGAGCATCTGTCTCGATGTCTCCCTCTCTCTCTCTCTCATAGAAGAAATAAATAAATAAACTATTAGAAACTCATTAACAAAACAGTTCCATCACCACAAGGATCTCTCATATTGCTCTTTCACAGGTCTACCCACCTCCCTCATACCACCTCCACTCCTTAACCCAGGTAACTACTAAGGTATTCTTTGTTTCTATAATTTTGCCAGTTCAAAATGTTATGTAAATGGAATCACAGGTTGTACCATTTGGGGACTGACTTTTTTTATTTAGCGTAATTCTCCACAGATTGATGCAGGTCAATCGTGTGCATCCATAATTCATTCGCTTTTGTTGTTGAGTATTATTCCACAGTTTGGATACAAGATGTTTGTTTTACTATTTGTCTTTTGGAGAACATGTAGGTTGTTTCCAGCTTGGGGCTGTTACAAATAAAGCTACTATAAACATTCATGTGCAGGGTTTATTTTGTTTGTTTTTGTTTTGTTTTTTTGGGGGGGAGGTTTGAGAGGTTTTCGCTATAGGGCACGTGCCCTCACCAGACAGACAGAGAGAAAGAGACAGAAAGCGAGAAATCACCCCCCAGGGGGGATGGTCACGCCGCAATCCCTTCTCCTCCATTCTCCTCTCAGGATCTTAGGCACGTACGCACACGTGCCCGGCATGAGTTTTAAGCCACCGGGTCCAGGACGCCAACCACGGTCGACTACATGGGAGTCTAGCAACATAGCCATTACGCTAACTGCTGGTTCCCTCATATGCAGGTTTTTAAGTGAGTGTAAATTTTCTTTATTCTGAGATAAATGCCCAGCAGTATAGTTGTGAGTCATATTGTAGCTGCATCTTTAATTTTTCAGAAAATGCCCAACTATTTTGCAAAGCAGCTGTGCTATTTTATACTCCCACCAGCAATGTATATAGATAGATAGATAGATAGATAGATAGATAGATAGATAGATAGATAGATGATCCAGTTTTCTTCATCCTACAGCACTGGAAGTTGTCACTATTTCTTTACTTTACTTAACCAGCTGATCATTGTGTAGTCCTATCTCGTTGTGGATTTTTAATGATTTTTTTAATTGCCAGAGGGCATGTGTGTTCACCAGAGAAAGCACCTCCCTAATGGAGTATGGTCACACCAAAAGTCTTTCCTTCCTTTCTCCATTCCAACAGGGTTTTAAACCCACACATACACACACTCTTGCCCAGTGTGCTTCTCAGATCACCGGGACTGGGATTTGAACTGAATTAGCCCTGTGTCATCTGGCTTCCAATGCACAGAGCTTAACTGTTGTGCTACCAGAATAGTCCTCACCGTGGCTTTAATTTACATTTCCTTGATTGCTTATTATGTTGAACATTTTTTAATGTGCTTATCTGCAACTCATACTCTCTTCAGTAAATTGCTTTTAATTTATTTTGCCAGTTTTTAGGATGGATTGTCTATTTCTTTATTTTTGAGTTTTGAGAGCTCTTTAATCTAGATTACAGTTTTTTGTGTAGCTTACAAATATTTCTCCATTCTATAGCTTGTTTTTCATCCTCTTAATACAATCTTTGCAGAAAATAATTTCTAATGTTGATGAATTTTAATTCATCAATTTGCCTCTTATGGAATATACTTTCAATGTGGAGTCTAAGAACTTTTGCCTAGCCCTAAATCATGAGAATATTCTCCAGTGTGATTTTCTAAAAGTTTTTTAGCTCCACATTTTACTTCTAGGACCACCATCCACTTTAAGTGAATTTTTTTGTATGAGTTATGAGGTCAGGTTGAGTTTCATTATTTTGCCCATGGATGTCCAAATTATCATAGCATGATTTGTTAAAATAACTATTCTACTTCTATTGAAATTTTTAAAACAATTATTTATTTAATTTTATTTAGCATATTTTAAATAATTATTTTATTTTCTGAAATTAATATCAAATTTAATTCTATCATGGTCAGAGTAGATGCTGGATATAGTTTCTGTGTCTTTGAATCTGTAAAGGCTTGCTTTGAGCCCTATCATGTGGTCAATCTTTGAAAAGGTTCCATATGGGGGTGAGAAAAAAGTGGTTTTTGGGTTGGAAGGTTCAATAGATGTCTGTTAAGTACATTTGATTTATGGTATCATTTAGATCTTTTATCTCTTTGCTTATTTTTTGTCTAGATGATCTGTCCAAAGGAGATAGTGGAGTGTTGAGGTCCCCAACAATTACTGTGTTGCAGTCTACCTCTCCTTTTAGATCTAACATTCTTTTCTTCACGAATTTGCATGCTCCTGGGTTAGGTGCATATATATTTATAAGTGTTATATCTTCTTGATGAATTAGCGCTTTTACTATCATAAAATGCCCTTCTTTGCCTCTTCCTACAGTTTTTGTCTTAAAGTCTATATTGTTGGAAATTAGTATCGTGACTCCAGCTCTGTTTATGGTTCCCATTTGCCTGGAATACATTTTTCCAGCCCTTCACTTTAGTCTATGTATGTCTTTATCCATGAGATACATTTTCCGTAGGCAACAGATAGAGAGTTTCTGTTTTCTTGTCCATTCAGCCAGTCTGTGTCTCTTGATTGGAAAATTTAATCCATTAACATTCAATGTTACTATAATATTTCTGGACTTGTCCATACCTTTATCTTGGCCATTGTCTTGGTTCTTTTATTCTCTTATTTCTGTCTGTTCATTCTTTAGTTTCCCTGGAACAGGACTCTCTTCAGAGTTTCTGGAAGAGCTGGTCTGGTGTTGGCTAATTCTTTCGGGTTTTGTTTGAGAAGATTTTAATCTTTTTTTTTCCCATATGAAGGATAATCTTGCTGGATACAATAATCTTGGTTGAAATTGTTTCTCTCTTAACACTTTCAATATGTCTTCCCATTCTTTCCCTGCTTGCATTGTTTCCATTGAAAGGTCCTGTGTTAGCCTGATGGGATGACTTTTATAAGTCACTTGACATTTCTCTATTGCCAGTTTGACTATCTTGTTTTTATCTGTGGTTTTGGCCAGTCTGGCTAAGATGTGCTGTGGAGAGGATCTTCTTGGGTTGATTCTATTTGGGGTCCTTTGTATTTCTTGGGTCTGGATGTTTAAGTGCTTCTCTAGACTTAGAAAATTTTCTTCCAGGATTTTATGGAATAGATTTTCCATGCCCTTATTAGTTTCTTCACCTTCTGGGACACCAATTATTCAGATGTTTATATGTTTAATGGAATCTAGTATTTCTCATATATTATCCTCATTTTTTTTTGTTATTTTCTCTTTTTGGTGGTTTGTTTCTAGATCAGAGGTTTTGTCTCCTACATCCAAGATTTGATCTTCAGCATGGTTTAATAGGCTTTTAATACTTTCAACAGAACAGTTTTGATTTCCTGTATTACAGTCTTTATCTCTAAAAGTTTCATTTGATTCTCTCTTATGCTGTCCATTTCTTCTTTCAAATCGTGTAAGGACTTCCTCATGTCCTGGAGTTTGTTGTCTCTTTTCTGTTCCAACTCATAGAGTTTTGTCACTAGGAATATTCTGAATTCTTTCTTTGACATTTTGGTAATTCTTCTGTTTTTTGAAGAGATGAGGAGAGTTATTGTGTTCTTTTGATGGAGACACATTTCCTGTTATTTTTTGTTTAACTTGAGGCTCTTCTGTGACTTCTAGGCATTGGGTGATATATTCACTTTTGGATACCTTTCTGGAGAATGTTTCTGCCACTGGGAAGTAGTTTGTTTCTCTTCTGTTGTGGATTGCTTATGTTCAGAAGTTGTTCTTCTGCTGTGTTTAGCAATGTGGTCCCCACTGGAGGAACTTTCTATTCAGGTCTCTGAAGAGCAGTTTCTCCTTTTCTGCAGGTGGAGAAGTAGGGAGCAAGGATCCCTGGGAGCCTCATAATGCTAGGATGTTTGAAAACTGTGATCCTAGCCCTGTCTAGTTCCTCTGGGTGGGTGGAGGATGAGGAGAAGATGACAATATAAGAGGGAAGAAAAAAGAATATAAAATGAAAAAAATGAAAAAGTTGCATGCTGTGCTTACAATATAAGAGGGAAGAAAAAAGAATATAAAACGAAAAAAAGGAAAAAGTCGCATGCTGTGCTTGCACACTGCGCAGCTTCAGCAGGGGGCTGCAGATGGAAGTGGGCTCTGCTTGAAAAATGGGAACTGCCCTATCTTACTTAGCATTATTTAAGAGGATTTTTTGCTATAGGGCACATACACTCTCCACTGAGACAGAGAGAGACAGAGAGACAGAACATGAGAAATCACCACTCAGGGAGGGTGCCCGCACCACTAGCCCTCCTCCTCTATTCTCCTCTCAGGATGTGGGGCATGCATGCACACGTGCCGTACCCCTCCCCCCACCCCAGTGTGAGTCTTAAGCCACTAGGTCCAGGACTCAAACAGCAAAACTCATGGGAGTTCAGTGACATAACCATTACACCATCTGCTAGTCTTTATTAATATTATTTTTTAATTTGTCCAGAGAGAGAGAGAGAGAAATGGAAAATGAGAAAGCAAGCCGCCAGGTTGAAGACTTCTAAACACAGTAGGCCACAATAATGCCTTAACCACCATACCACCTGCTGGCCCCATATTAAAATGTTTTTGCACCTTTGTCAAATATCAGTTGGGCATATTTGTGTGGGCCTACTTTTGAGATCCTATTTTTGTCTGTTAAAATATGTGTCTATCTCTCTACTAATATTACACAACCTTAATTATTGAAGTTATAAAAAATATTCTAGGGACCAGCAGATGGCGTAATGGTTATGTCACTGGACTCCCACATGACCAACCATGGACCTGGAGGCTTGAAACTCTTGCCGGGAGTATGTGCTTGCATGCCTAAGATCCCCAGGGGAAAATGAAAGAGAAGGGACTATAGTGTGGCCATCCCCCCACCCCGGGCGGCGGGGGGGGATTTTTCGCTTTCTGTCTTTCTGTCTCTCTCTGTCTCACACACCCTACAGCAAAAAATCTCTCTTAAAAAAAAAAATTCTCCCACTTTGTTCTTTTATGAGGGAGAGAGAAATGGAAAGAGGGTGAGACAAAGAAAGAGCACACACAGACTTAGGAGAAGGAAGGAAAAAGAAAGAGGTATGTTTTTGACACGATTTTGCCACTGAGATCCTCTGTCCCAGCCTCTCAATTAGCTAGAATCTCAAGCATGTGCCACCATGCCTGATTTGTCCAGTTTGGTCCCAGTACTGAATGCAACAGTGTCCTACTGCTTGCAACACAGCAGCTGGGCCCCTTCTTTTAATCATTCTATTTCCTTTGCCTTTTAATATAAATTGTGCAATTAAATTGTTTATGTCTCCAAAGAAGCTTGCTAGAATTTTGAAAAAAAAATTATGTTAAACCTGTATAATTATTTGGGGAGAAATGACACCTTACTGTGTAAAATTTCTAATCCATAAATATGGTATTATTTATTATTTTTTTATTTGTTTAGATGTTCTTTGATTTCTTTTGTCAGTATTTTGTATTTTTCAACACAAAAGTATTCTACATGTTTTATAAGATTTACACAGAAGTATTTCAGAGTTGGCTCTTTTTTAATGATTCTAAATAAAATTGAGTTTTAATTTTGATGTGTAGAAAGACAATTGATTTCTGGTATACTTGTGTTCTGAAAACTTGCTGAACTCACTTGTTAATTCTATGAATCTATGCATACAATCCTTGGCACTTTCTATGTAGACAATTGGGCCACCTAATAATGAGAAGTTTTATTTCTTCCTTCCCACATGCCACATCTCTTTTTGTTCTCTTGTTTTATTACTCTAGCTAGAACTCTAGCACTTATGTTGAGTAAGAATGGATAAGCCTGCCTTGTTGCCAGTGTTAAAGGAGAAGCATTCACTCTTTCACATTAGTTACTATGTTAGCTATCTCATTTAATGTTTTTTAAACATGCTCTTTATTAAGCTCCATTTGAATCCTAGTTTTCTGAGAGGTTTTATGAATGTGTGTTAAATTTTGTCAAATGCTCTTTCTGCATTCATTGATACGATCATGTGTTTTTTCTTCTATAGCCTGCAAATATGGCAGATTTAATGTATTAACTTTGGACTATTGAACTATGTTACATCCCTGAAATAAACATTATTCAGGGTTTTCTTTTTTTTCTTTTTTTGGTTTGTTTGTTTGTTTTTAGTTTACTATAGGATCACACACTCACTGGGGGAGGGAGGAATGAGAAATCACTCCCAGATCCTCACAGGAAGTTAGCCACCCTGCAATCCCTTCTCCTCCATCTCCTCTCAGGATTTCGGACATGCATGCACACATGCCTGGCATGGTTTCAAACTGCTGGACTCCGGTTTTGCATCATGCAGTTGGACATGTGGGATCCAGCTACCTTATCTACACTTACACTACCTGGCTGGCCCAGTCTGATGTATAATTATTTTGCTGAGTTCTACTTGCCTAAAGCTAAGAATTTTCACTTCTATATTCATGAGAGATATAATTTATTATATAGTTTATTCTTTTATTTTTTTGTACTCTTTGTCTGGTTTTGCTTATGGGTAATAGAAACATCACAGTGAACTGGGAAGTATCGCTTTTTCTATTCTCTTGAAGAGATTGTTTGGAACCATGTTAAGTTTTTATTTTTATAGTTTTATTTTGTTAGTTTAGTTTAGTTTGGGAGGGGTCTATAGGGCACATGCGCTCACACAGAGAGACAGGGAGGAAAAGTGAGAAATCTCCCCCACCCTGGGAATAGTCACATCATAATCCCTTCTCTTCCTGCCCCTTCTCGGCATTTTAAGCACATATTCATGATTTGAGATTCAAATCACAGTCACTCAGGTGGGATCCAGTGCCCTAACTTCCATGTCACTTGCTGACTCCAATGTTAAGTTTTTAAATGTCTGGTAGACTTCAGGGAAACTGTCTGGACTTGGTGGGGTTTTTTTTCTTTAGGGGAGATTTCTGAATATTGATAAATTACGTTTTCTCTTTCTTATTTTGTCAACTTTATAAAGGTTTCTCAATTTTATTCCTCTTTTTAAGGAAACAGATCTTTGTTTCATTTATTATTTTCTTTTGCTTCTTTGTTTGGGGATTATTTTGCTCTTCCTTTTTTACATTTCTGAGGTAAGAGTTTAGATCTTCGTTTTGAGAATTTTCCTCTTTTCTAATATATATATTTATTGCTATAAGTTTTTCTTTCAAGATTGCTTGGGACCAGCAGTTAGCAATGTCGCTGGCCTCCCACGTAGTCGACATCGGTTCAAGTCCCAGATCCGGTGGCTTAAACTCACACCGGGCGCATGAGCGTGTGTGCCCAAGATCCCGAGAGAACAGAGGAGAAGGGATTGTGGCGTGGCCATTCTCCCTAGGGGGTGATTTCTCGCTTTCTGTCTCTGTCTCTCTCTGTCTTTCTGGTGAGCACACGCACCTTATAGCAAAAACCTCTCCAAAAAAAAAAAAAGATTGCTTTAGCTGTGTCTCACAAATTTTAATAGATTATATTTCATTTTTATTCATTGCAATGTGATTTTTATTTTACTTGAGACTTTCTCTTTGGTCCATGAATTATTTAGAAGTGTAGGTTTTATTTTTGTGTGTTTTCCCTCATAGGTTATAAATTTCTATGAATATTTCCCCATGTTTAGCAAACATATTCTGTATGGTTCCATGTCTTTTAAATTTGTTAAAGTTTGTTTTGTCATTTAGGATATGATCTATCTTGGAAACAGTTTTTATTTTATACATTTTGTGACTTTTTAATTTGATGCATATATTTATAGGTCTGCTGTCTTCTTATTGGATCAGCCATTTATCATTCTTTTTCTTTTAAAGAATTATTTTAACGTTATTTGTTTACTCATTTATTGTATTTTAATTTGACCAGAGAGGGACAGAGCCAGGGGTGGGGGTGGGGTGAGAAAGCAAGCCGCCAGGTCCAGGACTTGAACCATGGTTGGTCATGTGGGAGTCCAGCACCCTTAACCACCACGCCACCTGCTGGCCCCAGCCATTTATCATTCTATAGTGTCCCACTGTCTCTAGTAACTTTCTTTGCTCCAAAGTCTACTTTTTCTGACATTAATATAACTACTCCTCTGTTTATTGATTAATATCTGCATGATATAGTTTTATTTATTCTTTTATTTATCTATTTGTGTGTGTGTGTGTGTAGAGGTTTTTGCTATAGAGTGCATGCACTCACCAGGAAGACAAAGAGAGACAGAGAGACAGAAAGCAAGAAATCACCCGCCAGGAGGATGGCCATTCTACACTGTCTTCTCCTCCATTCTCCTCTCGGGATCTTGGGCATACATGCACACACACTCGGTGTGAGTTTAAGCCACCAGGTCCGGGACTCGAACTGCAGTCTATTACATGGGAGTCCAGCAACATAGCCAGTACACCAACTGCTGGCCCCCTTATTTATTCTTTTATTTACAACTTGCCTGTTATCATTACATTCACATGAATATCTTCTAGACAGCATGTAGTTGAGTCATTTTTTTACTCCATTCTACCAACTTTGTCTTTCAATTTTTATATTTAGACCATTTGTATTTAAGGCAATTATTGACATGTTAAGGCTTAAATCTGTCATCTTATTTCTTGTTTCCTTTGTTCCATTTTTAATTTCTGTTTTACTTCCCTGCATTCCTGTCAGTTACCTGAAAAGTTTTTACAAATTCATGTTTATCTACAGTGTCTTTGAGTATATCAGTTTGCTCGGATTTTGTAATGGTTGCTGTAGATGTTACATTATTAATATATGTAGCTTACAATAGGCTATTGGTGTCATTTTACCAGTTCGAATGAAGTGTAGTAATCTTACCTCTCTTCATATCTTCTTACCCTATTTCTTACAGTTATCTTAAATATTTTCACTATGTACATGTGGGACCATGTCAAACAGTGCTTCAACTGTCAACTATCATTTAGAAGACCGAAGAGGAGAAACTCTGCTGTGTGTACCATTAATTCTGCTTGTTATGTTTTTCTTCCTTCATAATATTCCCAATCCCTTCTCTTATTATTTTCTTTCTGTTTAGAGAACTTCTTTAAACATTCTTTTAGAATAGGTACACTGGCAAAAAAATTCTTTTAATTTTCCTTCATCTGGAACTATATTTGTTTTCCCTTCATTTGCTGAGGATATTTCTTCTGGATAGAAGATTCTGGATTGATAGCTCTAGTCTTTCAGCACCTAAACAATATTCTGCCCCTTCCTTTTAGCCTCTATGGCTTCTAATGAGAAAGCATTCCATTTTTTTTACTCTGTGGGGGAAAGGTTTGATTTCAGTTTTCAAACATTTAGCTATGATGTATCTTGGTTGGATTTCTTTGGGTCCATCCTGTTTCGAGCTTGTTCAGATACCTGGACTTGTAAATGTGCTTCTTGTAAAATATGGGGAGCTTCTCAGTCATTATTTCTTCAAGTACTTTTTCAGCCCAACCTCTCTCCACTTTCTTTCAAAGACTCCTATAACACGAATATCAGATCTTTTGCTAAAGTCTCACAACCCCTCAGGCCCTTGTTAATTTTTCATTGGTCTGTCTTCTCTGTTGCTTTGATTGGTTAATTTCTATTGTTCTGTCCTCCAATATTCTGTCATACCTTCATCCTGCTATTGAGACCATCAACTAATTTTTTTTAATTTTTATTGTTATACTTTATCTATACATATATGTATGGATGTGTGTGTATATGTGCCATTAATTAGCTAGATAAGCTTTTATTTATATTTCCTGAGTTGAGGACACAAAGTACCAGAATAGTTGTCATCACTAAGTGACTCAATCAAAACCTCAAAAAGATCATGTAGTTCATTTGTTTCTCATGAATATTTAATGCCAGTTTGGCCCTTTATACATTCCTGACTATACTTACCATTCAAATATTCTATTTATTTTATCTATGTCTGTCATAACATGTCATACAAACTACTTGCCTCTGTGTTTAGTTTCATATATCTTCCTTTCTTTTGCTTATTTGCTATAACAGATTCTATTTATTTTATCTATGTCTGTCATAACATGTCACACAAACTACTTGCCTCTGTGTTTAGTTTCATATATCTTCTTTTGCTTATTTTCTATAACAGAATTGAATATTTTTAAATAATGCATCAAACACACATTATAGCAGCAGCAGTATTAATAAAAACGGAGCATGTCTCTATATAGTAGCTGGAAGCATCCATCACCAGATACACTTAAGGAATAAAGCAAAATGAAGAGTCTTATGTGTAGTATGTTACCATTTATACAGAAAAAAATGCTTATGTATTTTTACTTGGTGGTATTTCTTGAAAAGAATTCAAAAGAAACTGATTATGATCATTTTCTCTGAAGAGATCATTATGTGGTACATCTTTTTGAATTTTTTTACATTTTAACACATGTATATACTACCTAATTAAAAACTGATCATATTAAAGCTTTACTTATAAAAATATTAACTTCTGTTCTGTTTTCTATATACAGGTATAAGAATGGCAAAGCAACTGAACCTTCCTGACAATACAGATGAGTGGACAAAAGAGGATGTTAACCAATGGTTAGAAAGTCATAATATTCACCAAAAACACAGGGAAATCTTGATAGCACAAGATGTGAGTGGAGCAATCTTGAAATGGTTAAATAAAAAACACCTTGTTGATATGGGCATAACACATGGACCAGCTATCCAAATAGAAGAACTATTCAAAGAATTGCGGCAAGAATCCTTTGAAGATAATATTCAAACATCTAAGAGGAAAAAAAGCAGTAAAAATGTTCCTGAAAAACAAACTTTGATGCAAGAAGAAAGTAGAAAAACCCCAAAGCAAAAACAAAAAGATAAAGAAAACTCAGATACGGCTAATGACTCTACCTTGAGTACAGGTTCTAAGTCATTAAGAAATAATCTTACAAAAGATGAAATAGATGACACAAAGGAAAAGCAGCCATCAATAGAACTGATGTGTGCATCATACCCTTTTGATAGATTCAGTGATCCATACCGTTACAAATTGCATTTTAATCTACAGCCTGAAACAGGACCACACAATCTTATTGATCCAATACATGAATTCAAAGCCTTCACAAATACAGAAACAGCCACAGAAGTGGATGTCAAGATGAAATTTAGCAATGAAGTTTTCAAATTTGCTTCGGCCTGTATGAACTCACGTACCAATGGCACCATTCACTTTGGTGTCCAAGACAAACCCCATGGAAAAATTGTTGGTGTAAAACTCACCAATGTCACCAAAGAAGCCCTCATTGACCACTTTAATCTGATGATACACCAGTATTTTGAAGACCACCAGGTTCAACAAGCAAAAAAGTGCATTCGAGAGCCAAGGTTTGTTGAAGTTTTACTGCCAAACAGTACTCTATCTGACCGATTTGTTATTGAAGTGGATGTCATTCCACAATACTCTGAATGTGCATATGATTATTTTCAGATTAAAGTCCAAAATTACAAAAACAAAATGTGGGAACAAAGTCCAAAATTCTCGGTCTTTGTGAGAGATGGAGCCAGCACTAAGGACATCATGAAAAACAAAACTGATTTCAGAGCATTTAAATTAGATTTAAAACCACTGGCAGAGTCTAGGAAAGAAGCAGAAGAAAAATTAAGAGTAAAATCAAACAGAAAAGAGAGTGAGGGCCTGAAGCTGGTTAAACTGTTGACTGGAAATCAGGATATATTAGATAATTCATATTATGACTGGTACATTCTTGTAACAAATAAATGCCACCCAGATCAAATAAAACACTTAGATTTCCTAAAGGAAATTAAATTATTTGCTGTGTTAGACTTCGATCCTGAATCAGAGAGCAATGGAGTAGTCAAAGTTTACAAAGAAAGCCGAGTAGCAAACCTTCACGTTCCAAGTCTGTATGTAGAAGGGAAAATCACAACAAATGAGAAAATTTCTAGTCTGAATCTTTACCAGCAACCAAGCTGGATTTTCTGCAATGGCAGGTTAGACCTTGACAGTGAAAAATATAAACCCTTAGATCCAAGTTCCTGGCAAAGAGAAAGAGCTTCTGAAGTCAGGAAACTGATCTCATTTCTTACACATGAAGACATTATGCCAAGTGGAAAGTTTTTAGTGGTATTTCTGTTACTTTCCTCTGTGGATGACCCAAGAGATCCCCTCATTGAGACCTTCTGTGCCTTCTACCAAGATCTCAAAGGCATGGAAAACATACTTTGTATTTGTGTACAATCGCACATATGCCAGGGATGGAAAGATCTACTTGAAGCAAGATTAACAAAACATCAAGACGAATTCTCAAACCAATGTATTTCTGCTTTAAATCTGGAAGAGATAAATGGCACCATTCTTAAATTAAAATCTGTGACTCAGACTTTAAAGAGATTTTTGCCCTCTATTGGTTCATCTACTGTCCTTCTGAAAAAGGAGGAAGATATCATGACTGCTCTGGAAATTCTCTGTGAAAACGAATGTGAAGGTACAATCTTAGAGAAGGACAAAAGTAAATTCCTTGAATTCAAGGCATCAAAAGAGGAAGATTTCTATCGAGGTGGCAAAGTATCATGGTGGAACTTCTACTTTTCTTCTGAAAGCTATTCTTCACCTTTCGTCAAAAGGGATAAATATGAAAGACTTGAAGAAATGATTCAAAACTCAGCAGATTCCTCTAAACCTACATGTGTCAAAATTATTCATCTGTATCATCATCCGGGCTGTGGAGGAACTACCCTGGCTATGCATATTCTCTGGGAACTAAGAAAGAAATTCAGATGTGCTGTGTTGAAAAACAAGACAGTGGATTTTTCTGAAATTGGAGAACAGGTGACCAATTTAATCACCTACGGGGCAACAAACCATCAGGAATACTTACCTGTACTGCTCCTTGTTGATGATTTTGAAGAACAAGATAATGTCTATCTTCTGCAGGCCGCTATTCACACAGCTGTAGCTAAAAAGTACATTCGATATGATAAACCTCTAGTGATCATTCTAAATTGCATGAGATCACAAAACCCTGAAAAAAGTGCAAAGATCCCAGATAGCATTGCCTTAATACAACAACTATCTCCCAAAGAACAGAGAGCTTTTGAGCTTAAATTGAAAGAAATCAAAGAACAACATAAAAACTTTGAAGATTTTTATTCATTCATGATTATGAAAACCAATTTTAATAAAAAGTACATAGAAAATGTAGTCAGGAATATCCTAAAAGGACAGAATATTTCTACCAAAGAAGGAAAACTCTTTTCTTTTCTGGCTCTTCTTAATTCATATGTGCCTGATACCACCATTTCGCTATCGCAGTGTGAAAAGTTTTTAGGAATTGCAAACAAGAAGGCATTCTGGGGAACAGAAAAACTTGAAGACAAAATGGGCACCTACTCTACAATTCTGATCAAAACGGAGGTGGTAGAATGTGGGAACTACTGTGGAGTGCGCATCATTCACCCTTTGATTGCAGTTCTCTCACTGGAAGAATTGAAGGAAAGCTATCACTTGAATAAAAGTCAAATTATGCTTGATATGCTAACTGAAAATTTGTTCTATGACAGTGGTATGGGAAAAAGCAAATTTTTCCAAGATATGCAAACACTGCTACTCACTAGGCAGCGTATTGAACATGAAGGTGAAACAGGGACTTGGTTTTCCCCATTCATTGAAGCATTGCATAAAGATGAAGGAAATACAGTAGTTGAGGCTGTATTGCTTGAAGGTACCCGTCGGTTCAACCCAAATGCATTCATTTGCCAAGCCTTGGCAAGACATTTCTACATCAAAGAGAAAGATTTTGACAGTGCTCTAAAGTGGGCACAACAAGCAAAAATGATAGAGCCTGACAATTCTTATATCTCAGACACACTGGGTCAAGTTTACAAAAGTAAAATAAGATGGTGGATAGAGGATAATGGGAGAAACAGGAACATTTCAGTTGGTGATCTAACTATTCTTTTGGATTTAGCAGTACATGCCTCAAATGCATTCAAAGAATCTCAACAGCAAAGTGAAGATAGAGAATATGAAGGGAAGGAAAGGCTATTTCAAAAGTCAAAAAGGAGGTATGATGTGTACAATATAGCTGGCTATCAAGGGGAGATAGAAGTGGGGCTCTACACAATCCAGATTCTCCAGCTCATTCCTTTTTTTGATAATAAAAATGAACTAGCTAAAAGAGATATGGTCAATTTTATATCAGGAATTAGCGATATTCCAGGAGATTCCAGCAATGAATATAAATTAGCCCTCGAGGACTTTATTCCTTATCTAACTACACTGCAATCTTCTTTGAAAAAGTCTTTTGATTTTTTTGATGATTACTTTGTCCTTCTAAAACCCAGGAATAACATTAAGCAAAACGAAGAGGCCAAAAGTCGGAGAAAAGTAGCTACCTTTTTTAAAAAGTACGTAGATATATTTGGTCCCTTAGCAGAATCACAAGACAGAGATCTTGGATCAAAGCTCAGCTTGCCACTTCAAGTTGAGAGGTGTCGGAGAAGCCTAGAAGCTTTAAAAGCAGACAAGTTTTCTGGGCTCTTGGAATATCTTATCAAAAGTCAAGAAGATGCTATAAGCACCATGGAAGGTATAGTGAGTAAATATACTTTCCTCTTTGAACAGTGTGCTGTTAGAATCCAGCCAAAAGAAAAGCAAAATTTCATACTGGCCAACATTATTCTCTCATGTATTAAACCTACCTCCAAATTAGTAAAGCCAATTAAAAAACTGAAAGATCAGCTTCGAGAAGTCTTACAACCAATAGGACTGACTCACCGATTTTCAGAACCTTATTTTCTTGCTTCTCTCCTGTTCTGGCCAGAAAAACAACAACTAGATCAAGATTCTAAACAAATGGAGAAGTATGCTCAATCACTGGAAAATTCCTTCAGAGGGCAATATAAGCATATGTACCGTACAAAGCAACCAATTGCATATTTCTTTCTTGGAAAAGGTAACAACATGAACAGACTTGTTCACAAAGGAAAAATAGATCAGTGCTTTGGAAAGACACCTGATATCAATTCCTTGTGGCAGAGTGGAGATGTATGGAAGGAGAAAAAAGTCCAAGAACTTTTGCTTCGTTTGAGAGGACGAGCTGAAAATAATTGTTTATATATAGAATATGGGATCAGTGAAAAAATCACAATACCCATCACACCTACATTCTTGGGCCAACTTAGAAGTGGAAGAAGCATCGAAAAAGTATCTTTTTACCTGGGATTTTCCATTGGAGGTCCACTTGCTTATGACATTGAAGTTGTTTAAGAACCTGGTCTCCTCCCTTCAAGAATGTGGTCTTAACACTTTTTTTTTTCCCCAAGACCTATATTTTAACTGGAAAATTTTACAGATACAGCCCCTCGCTTTTCAGCCTTGTGTATACAATAATTAATTTCTCTTAAACATGTTACAAGTCCTACAAGACTATGATAAAGAAAGATGAAGTAAGAGATACAGAAAGTTGCAATCTCTTTCTTGGTTAGGATAACATTATTAAAAACAAAACAATACGGAACTATGGATGGTATTAGGAGAGATGAATATAGTCTGTCAGCCACATAGAAGCCCCTCACTCCCCCCAATTACCTTACCAAGACAGGGATTGAAGAAGATTGTCTACTTTCTTCTCAATGTGAAATTGTTTCAGAATATATTTTTTTAAAAATTAAAAAAAAAAAAGATATGCTTGCAAGACAATAGAGTGCCCAGGGTGGTTGAGGTGCTGGACGTGGCTGATCATGGTTCAAGTCCCCAACCTAGTGGCTTGATTTCTCACGTCCCCTCTCTGTCTCTCTCTGGTCAAATTTAAATATATACATAACAAATAAAAATTAAATAAATAATTCTTTTAAAAAATATATCACAGAGAAGATTAATAAAGCCAAAGTTAACTCCCTGAAGAGACTAATAAAGGTGGTTCGCACTTTGCATGATTCTAATATGCAGAAATTTGTGCCCAGGGAAACATTTTGGGGGCAAAAAAAAAAAAAAAAAAGACTTTTTAAACTGAGGAGCAACATTTTTTTTCTAACCAAGCAGACCATAAATGTTTCATGTGCTTGGCACTCGGGGTCTTCCTGAGAGGAGGACCAACCAATTATCTGAAGGTAATGCCGATAGAAGTCAGCAGATCTAACCAAAATTGGCTCATATACACTGCTTTTTCATGCAGTAGGAGGCAGTTGGACAGAAGAGAAATTTGTCTCTACGGCTAATGAGCTTATAAACTGCTTTCCAAACAAACCAGTAAAACAACACAAAAGCTAATGGAACAAAACAGGCAATTGTGAAAATTCCAATGAGTCCCCCTTCCAGGGCATCCCAATATGCTCATAAGATTTTATGTATATATATCCTATTGTTGAACAAACCTGTGAGATGTAATCAAAATGTAATTTCCCCTAGTAAAATTATGGATATAGGCAATCATCAATGACTGGCAAATTATTAAATGGAAAAGCTGATAAAAAAAAAAAACTTTTTAACAGATGAATTGGACTGTCTTAAATCTTGATCAATCTTAACATCACAGAGAAAGACAACCTGACACTTCAGACCTGGAAGAATACTTTCTTTTCACCCTATCCACCCCAACCCCCGGCTTACTCCACTCATAGAATCACTGTGTTTAACTGTGACAAGATTGGACATGAGTTCATACCTGCCATCTGATGGGTACATAGATGATGGGTACCTAGAGTTTACAATACTCTTCTCTCTTTTCACTGTGCTCTTGAATCTTTTGTTATAAAATATTTGCAACAACAAAATGAAAATTACTTTTGTCTTCAAAAAACCTTATTAGAATTTTTTCACCAGGGCAAGTTTTCCTTTGATCCTGCATGAAATTTCAGCTTTCCAATTTATCAGTTCACTCTACTGTTTTTAATTGACAAATAAAGTCTATGTATTTATTGTGCACAACATGATGTTTCAGTATATGTGTACATTGTGAAATGTTTAAACCAAGTTTATTAATATATCAGTTTATGAACTTACTTATGAGTGGGTATGTGGTGAGAATCTACCCTTAGCCATTTTCAAGTTTACTTTATTATAAACTATAGTTCCCATGCTGTACAATAGCTCTTCAGAACTCACTCCTCCTGTCTGAAACATTATGGCTTTTGACTAACATTTCTCTATTTCCCACCCCTCCCAACCCCTGTGCCCCTGGTAACTAATGGTATTCTTTCTTATGTGGAAACTTCAGAAAGTGGAGTATACCAAATCCTGCTTTTGACTATTTGAAATGTGGATTAGAAAACAAATAAACAAACAAAAACTTCTCACAAAGCAATGCCAGAGCGAAGATCTTTGATTAAACAGACTAACTTATTTCTCTAAAAACAGCAACAAAAATTATGTCTTTCTCTCATTATACTCAGATCTCTTATTCTTTAAAAGTTTTCCCTACTGTACAACTTGGAATGTGCTAGGAAAGAGTTCGCATGCACTAAAATATTCATAGATTTTTTTTTTTACTTTCTCTGTTGGCAAGATGTCCATCTCTAGTTATAATATATGTACATTATTCTCTGTTCTTTTCTGTATTTTAAGAGCTAAATATGCATATGTACTGTCATCATAGCATAGACAAATTTCAAATTCTATGGCAACTCTAATAGTTTGAGAGTTCCACATCTGTTCTGAAAACATTTAAAGTCAGTTTAGAAAGCACACTCCTTTTCATAAGCAGTAGCAGGAAATTGTATAGTTTGAAATACCCTTTTTCGAGATGCTATCATCATCTTTTCCTAGTGACTATAAATATGATTTAAACCTTTTATTATGGTTTTAATATGTCCTGCAAAAATGCATGTGTTGAAATTTGCTTACTATCATTACACTTTTTTTTTTTTTTTTTAGAGAGGTTTTTGCTATAGGACACGTGTGCTTTCCAGAAAGACAGAGAAAGAGACAGAAAGCAAGAAATCACCCAGGGGAGATAGCCATACCACAGTCCCTTCTCCTCCATTCTCCTCTCGGGATCTTGGCACACGTGCACATGTGCCTGGCGTGAGTTTAAGCCACTAGGTCTGGGACTCTAATCACAATCAACTACATGGGAGTCCAGCGACATAGCCATTACACAAACTGCTGGTTGATCTCGCTATTATTACACTGTTATGAGAGTAGAAACTTAATCCTTCTGTGGTAGTAAGAGATAAAATTTGGAGGAGGCAATTAGAATTAGATAAGGTCAGCAGGGTGGGTACCCATGACTTAATATACAAGTGGGTTTATATGAAGAAAGACACCAGAATTATCTCCATGTGATTCCCTCACTGCCTCAGGATTGTGCAGAGAATCCCCACCAACAAGAAGGTTCTCACTAGACGTGGGCCCTCAACCATGGACCTACAGAACCATAAACTGAAGTAATAGTTATTATTTATAAATATCCATATTTTAGTGATTTACTTAAATGATTATCTACAAGTGAAACTCTTAGTAGAAAACAGAAGGCACATTCAAAAGGAGTCACTGAGGAGAGTTTAACAAAGAAACTATTTATATTTACAGAAGTATGGGTGGTAAGGTGCAGGGAAATCTCAAATGATAAAGTAACACCCTAGGCCTAGCTAGCAACTACTATCCCCAAGCTCCAAGGGGCAAGAGAAGGGAACTGTTAGACAAATGGGAATAAAGGGGAAAGGCGGGAGAGAGCAGGAAAAAAAATCTTTCTGAAGAGGTCCTATTGGACCAATGCCCTTCTGCAGAGGTATGCAGCAAGTCTGCGGTACCCAGAAGGGGAAACCCCAGGAGAATAAATAATGTGACCTCAGTCTGGCCCCTCTATTTAATCTGCTGTTTGTGATTTCCATAGACTGTTTCCAACCAAAAGCCAGAGGGCAAGGGAACCATGGAAATAACCCCTATGGGACAACAGAGTACAGAAAAGAGGAGAGAGTAAATGGAGAAACAGACAAAATATCCAGCACCATATCCCACAACTCTTGAATTTCTACAGTTATCTCCAAAACTAACTTAAGTTTGGAACTTAAGTGACACTGACACATCGTCTTAAAAATCAAATTCTTTTTAACACCTCAGAGTGATGACAGGGACATCTTAACCTTGTTCTGTTTCTTACCCATTAACTTACTTCTCTGTTTTTGTTTGTTTGTTTGTTTGTTTTAGAGGTTTTTGCTATAGGCGCGTGCGCTCGCCAGAAAGACAGAGAGAAACAGAGAGACAGAAAGGAAGAAATCACCTCCCCCCCCGAGAGGGGATGGCCATGCCACAATCCCTTCTCCTCTTTCTCCTCTCGGGATCTTGGGCACACACGCACTTGCATCCGTTGTGAGTTTAAGTCACCGGGTCTGGGACCTGAACCACAGTTGACTACATGGGAGTCCAGCAACATAGCCATTATGCTAACTGCTGGTCCCTCTTTCTGTTTTTTTTTTACTAAAGTAATTCAAGAGCCCTCAACTGGAATTACTTAATGTGTATATGCTTGGGAATTGATATAATTTTATCCTTTTCTTTTTTTGACTATTGTTCCTGACAGCTTCCTGTTTCTAATTTATTGAAGTTTTTGAACATATATGAACATATGTGAACTTACTGAGGTGGATAGTGAGGAAAAGAGTTCTCTTTTATATCAACTGTCATTTTTTGCACACATGCTTTTATTATTTTAAATTGTCATTTTATGTTTATTGATTATGTTTCTCATTTCTTTGAGAATGCTGTAACACTATTCTAAAGTTAAAACTTTCTCTCTGTTTTTTATAGAAAAAAAAAATTCTGTTAGTCCAGGCTCTCTAAGAAGTAAATATCAAGACAGGATTAAGTGTGCAAACATTTTATTAGAGCGAAAGCCTAGGATTGAAAAATGAGGATCTGGTAAGTTAAGGGTCCTTCTCTCCTTCACTTGGAGTCAGAATTGCATCGCAGTAGCTTGGCTGTCTCAGTCTTACTAGTGTCCAGACCTGCTGTGGGGAAAAAGGGAGAAACAGGGAGAGATACACATAGTAACAGTCCTGTTTCTCTAGAGTCCTTGACTAATAAAATCCTTGACTCAAAAATGTCAGCCATTGGAGGAGACCAGTCACTCCCAGAAACCAGCCTTCCTTAGTATCCTTCTGATCAGTCACTCGCTAAAAGAGTCCTATGGAATGTATGGCCTTGGTGCAAATACAGGGGTGAATTTTAAAGCGAAGCAGCTAGGGCCCTGGATCAATTAAACTCTCTGAAGGTAGATATCTGCAAAAGTGCTGTCTTATGGCTGTCACAAACACCAAACACAAGTAAAACAAGTCTAAGATAAAAATGGATTATATTTACTAAACTAAGATAATTCAATTTCTGAATGTCTACACAAAAAGATACGTTGTTTCTATAAATGTCTCTACGAAAAGCACTAAGTTAGCTGAATGCAAAGAAAGAAAGAAAGAAAGAAGAAACAAACAAACAATAAATTTATCAATACAAAATTATGGCACAGAAAAAAGTCACATAGCTAGAAAAAAAGAAATTGTGATTTTAATATAGTTCAGATTCACTGGCCCCAAGCTAATAAGAAATTGTGTGACAAAAATCATATAAAACAAGAAAAATTCACCACTCACAGAAATGAGTTGCCTATTTCATTCTTTTTTCTGTGTGTTTTTTTGTTTGTTTGTTTGTTTGTTTGGAGAGGTTTTTGCTATAGGGCGCGTGCGCTCACCAGACAGAGAGAGAGAGACAGAGAGAC